TTTTATATACCGGTCTCGCGTTATAACGGCCAAAAACTGCCAAACCACTCACGCCGGTATAGAGAGAGTTGACTGTAATCAATTCGCGTCTACAAGTTCCTCGTTGGTGTCGTGATTATAAAATATATTCTTTTTTCGTTCTTTTTTTTTTGTGGGAAATTTTATTAAACAAAAAAATCAAGGAAACCGAAATTGGTATTGAAGAAACTAAAAGGGTGCTTGGAATAGTTGGAGGTCAAGCCCTTCTCGTTCTGCTCTACTCCAACTTAGCAGAGCTGCGAAAGCAGCAAACTGTACTCCTAGAGAGACCAGGTAACGACTTTGTGACTCAGGCACTGGGGATATACGCACCCTACAATTTTTTTGTCGACCACATAGTAAACCATGTTTTTTCAAAGAGCATATCTACTGTACATATAAGTTACACCGATTTTTGTAGATAATTGGTTGTGCTTTCGAGAGAAATGGTGATATATTATTAAGCTGCAGTTTACATAAAGTGACAGCATCTATGCACAAATGCGAAAATCTATGAAAATATACGTGGGGGGTTTGAAAAGTTTTGCGTGTGGCTCTCTGACTCGAGATAACTAAAAATTGGAGTAATCATAAAGTGGGCATACTTTCATGTAACCAATGAAAAAAAAGTATAGGCAAATTCATTATCTCGTTGTCAAGAAACCTTTTTTTTTATAAAGCATAGCAAAACAACTGGAAAAAATGAGCTATAAAAACTAACGGCACTTTATTTTTGCTCCTTAGAAAAATGGCAAAAATGCGACTCAAATCTACGATAAGTTGGTGAATATAGAAAGGAAACAAATATTGTCTACCAGCCAATTGGACGTTGGATTGTTACATTCAAACACGAATAAGAAAAAATTAGAGACAAAGGCTCGTTCTGGATGTCTTCGCGAAGCAGTGACGTCAGAAAAAATTGCCAAGATCGAGAATTTTGTCAGCAATAACCCGCACATTTCTATTAACATTTTAGCCAACCAAACCAGTATTTCTCCTGAAAAAATCTCTCTCATTTTGCATAGTGAGCTGTGCCTCCAGAAGAAAGGGACGAACAACTGTTCGTGACGTACCACAATGCTTGCGCCATATAAGGCAACGATCATGACGGAGTATCTCTCATACCGAACGAGTGAAACTTATTCTCTATTTGCCATACATGCGGTCACGTTACTGTAACAAATTTCTGAAGATTTTACTTTTCTTGATCGGGTTGTCCTACTTCAAATTAAGAAAATTTTCCCCGATCTCTTTTTTAACGTTCACGTTATGAAGAAAATAAAGAATAAACGGTCGTTGGCAGACTTGTCTTCAAACAAGGATGAACGAAAGCCACAGAGAAAACGCAGCAAATCTGTTCCACCACCGTCGTCGCGGTCTGAAGACGAGGATGAACCTTACGAATATGAGGCAATGGAGGAGCAACAGACGGAAGACACAACCACGGAAAACACGATCACGGAAGGGGGACCTATAGAGAGCAGTACGAACAGTGACTCGGTTGCGCATGGTTCCAATACAACAACAATGAATCCAGCTGCCACTAATTCAAATCTCGCCTCACCGAACCCTTTACAGCGCTCGCAGACCCACGCCACGCATTCGTTAGATTCTTACAAAGCACCCAAGAACACTGATGTTTATCTTGTACCTCGAACTCCACGCATTCCAAAGACACCCACAGAAAAAGAGAATACGCGCCGGCTTATTGTTGTACTTTCGCGGGCGAGTTTAGAGACATTTAAATCAAGGAAAAATAATACATATCAATTGTTAAATTGTGACGATCACTACGCTTATCTGGATAAAATGGGAAAGACGTTTTCTGATGCCAGGCCGGATATTACACATCAGGTTTGCAAGTGAGAATGGGAAGGGAGGGAATTGGATTGGAATGGGAACTCGCGTAAGAAGCGAGAAATCGTAGAATGATTATCTTCGTTTTCATTTCAATATGTGACACGGTTCGTCTTACGAGTTGCAGATATATTCTTTATTGTTGCTAACAATGTGTACATGTGCTCTTCTTTCATTCATCAGTGCCTTATGCAGCTTCTTGACAGTCCTCTAAACAAGGCTGGTTTGTTACAAGTCTACATCCACACGGCAAGAAATGTACTAATTGAAGTGAATCCTCATGTGAGAATTCCAAGAACGTTTAAGCGTTTTTGTGGGCTAATGGGTGAGTTATCGCACAAGACAAACTATCAAGGAGTATTGGGGTGTTGCAGATCACGCGATTAATGCTATCGTTGGGAAGAAGAGAATGTGAGTTGTAACGATTGATCTTCTTAACTAAGCTTCATTGATATTGATCTAGTCCAACTATTACACAAGTTGTGTATTACGTCTGAGAACAATTCCGTGAAATTACTTCGCGTTGTCAAGAATCCTGTTACACAATATCTCCCAATAGCATGCAGGAAACTGAGTAAGTACCATATTTTTTTTGCCGCTATGTCAATTCTCGTCCACACATTCTTTTCTAACATTACTTTGTCCAAAGCTCTTTCGTACGACGCTCCCACAGTTCGTCTAAAAGATTATCTTCCAACAATTCCGCCAGATCATTCTATATGTGTAGCCATAGGAGCAATGGCTCATGGAGAAGACAATTTTGCGGACGATTGGGTAGATGAAAAGATCGGTATATCAGAGTACTCATTATCTGCTGCAGTGGCATGTTCTAAATTCTGTTGTGCATTGGAGGACTTGTGGGGTATTCTTTAACGGAATTAGATAATCGAATGTTCGATCAAAAAAAAAGGGGAAAAACAATGATTGTCAGTGTGAAGAGTAATTTATTTTGATAATGATCGTAGAGATGATAGTTCAAAAGAAAGAATGTTAGATAATCACCTAACAATTATATGGCTGTGCCAATGCAATCACATGAGGTCATGTGATTAATAGATAAATTGATTATCAAAAGAAAAAAAAAAGGGAATTACAAAAATGTTCCATCGTCGCACGTACTCCACTTATCGCCCGCGTTTAACCTCATGGCAAATATATGGAACTCCTATTACTAACATCTTTCTCTACGGTTCCATTACTTATCTCGGATTACATCTAATACACGCAAAACTCGATTTCAAAGAACGTAAAGAAGAAATGGAAGAGGAAATTAAAAAGCTAGAAAAAGAGCTTCAAGAAAAGCGGAAGACAACTTGGTAGGTATCCTACTCTATTGAGTATGGGTTTATCGGATAATTATAACCAATACCAATTGCTTTGTGAATAGACTCAAATTCAAACGCCAGCTAATGACAGGTAAAAAAATTGTTTGAATGGACCACATGCAGTTTCATTTTTCCAAATCGTCTCTTCTGCTCTCGCATTAGCTCGAAATATTCACTTCCCTCATCACCTTCATACACTTTTACTCGATTCATGTCCCATCTACACTCGTTTTCCTATATCGGAATGTTCTCTGTTCCGGCTCGATATACTTCAACTTTAATATGGCAAAAACTTGTTCTTCGCTCTGTACTTTCAACTGTAGACCAAGCTCACCAGTTTCATAGATTACGTCGGCGGATAACATAGTATCTAGATGAACCCTTGCTCATTCGCATAGCGGCACAAATATTTTACAAATTGCTTGTCGCCCGTTAAGGCTATTATCCCCGATTATTAAACATTTCACATCGAGATTCATCACCAAGAAAATGTCCAACCACCGTAAGGTTTTTTTTCAGAGATCTGCTGAGAAATAAATTTGTCAAATAGCATTGCGTATCTGTTTACACGTGACACGAGTGTATA